TGTGTGCTTTTTGGACAGGAAGATGTTGATAAAAGTGGAACCACAAAAGGGAAGAAATCGATTGACAGTTTTTGGTGATTTGCTTGGATTTAGTTGAATTATGGACACAATTAGTGCTGAAGAAATTTTGCTTTTGAAAATATAATTTTTTGAGGTTATATTGGAATTGTTTGAGGTTATATTGGAATTATTTGAGGTTATATTGGAATTATTTGAGGCTATATTGGAATTGTTTGAGGTTATATTGGAATTATTTGAGGTTATACTGGAATTATTTGAGGTTATATTGGAATTATTGAGGTTATCAGACTATCTAGACCTAGGAGAATGCTCAATTCAAGATTTCAAAACTGATGGATCACATTTTGATGATTTTTGATCTAGTGGAAGTAGCTTTTGGCTCTTACTTAGCTAAATAGAGTAGTTTAACTTTACTTGTGTGTGACCTTACCGTTTTTTGCTGCCTCATGAGACAAGGGTAGAAATAGATGTAAACGGACAAATCAGATCAATAACCCCTAAAAAGATTGAAGCTTAATATAATATTTTTGAGGTTATGTCACCCACAACTAAGAGGATTCAACCATAAACTTAATAATCCCCAAAGCTACACCTTTCACAAAAATTAAATTATATTAATATTTCTCCATGCACTTAAACATGTCCTTTTACATCCAATCCTTCCTAGAAACTTCCATTATTACCAAACTTTATCTTCTCTACCGCTTAAAGCAGGTCAAATAATAAATTTCTTGTAGGTAATGACTGAAAAATTCATACACGATGATGATGATTATGATGATATGAAACACAAACGTCACTACATCATTTTACAGGACGAGGAAAATTATTTTTACTACCGTTCAATTTCTAAGAAAAGCAAAAACTTCTTCAATGTCTCGTCACATGAGTCATAAAAATTGAGGAAGAATAATGTGATATAGTCTTGGTTAGATGAAAATATATGAATTGTTGGATGGATGTAATATGCCCTAAGAGAGAAAGGATAAAATCCACTTTTTACATATTTCTCATTCCTTACATACAATTCTCACATGTAAAGCATGTCATGCCATTTTTAACCTCTATGGAATATGGAAAATAAAATGAAATATGTGAGTCTAGGATGGAATAAGAAGAAGAAAATTGTTATATCATGTAGAGGCGGTGTATGAAAAACTATGCATGCGTAAATAATTATTTTGGTTTATAGTTCCTTCGAACTTTTCCTTTGGGTTGCTTTTTAGCTGAAATTTATAAAATTGGTGGAAATGTAGCATTTTGGGAGTTTCATTTGACACTGAAATATGTGAATTGTTGAGTCAAATTAAATAGAAAATGAACAATGTTAGTAAAGTAAGCTAAATTGTAGGGTGATTCGTCTAAAAGGGAATGACCAGAGGTTCGAATCCTTATCAAGATTTAAAAAACTAAAACTTAATGAAATCTCCCAATTTTTTTTACAAAAGTTATCAATAAAATATCAGAAATCTTCAATTAATCCCCTACCAATATCCACTTGACCTCCATATCATCTCCCCAGCGACTTCCTATCTCATCAAAACTTCTACTCCAATTCCAAATAATTTCATCCGTAATCCAATTTCATCCATATTGACTTCCTTACTTCCTTTCTCGTCATACTTTAATGTTTCTTTTTCAACATAAAGGCCAAGTGAGCTTTCATGTCATTTCTCGTCATTGCTTTCCGTCTCCCATCAACTTTTCCATTTAATCTTGTTAAGGTCTTCAGCATGATTTTTGATCCCCCTTTTTTTTCTTGGATGTAATTTTTTTCTGGACTTCCTTCATGTATGTATGATTATCGATGTGGAAGGATTTATTACATGGCTCATGTTACGTAACTCGATTTACTTGATATTTTTTTTTGTTAAACTATAAATAAATTGTGTGGCTTGGAGATGATGATAGTCATTGCTATATTGATAAGGGAAGGATGAATTGCTTGATGTTGGGTTTGATGGTAATTTTAAGGTTATGTGAAGCTTTTTTGATGCTTTTCTGGCAAAACAGCAGCTGAAATTGCTTGAAATCACTTAAAGTGACTCGCAACTTATTTAAAAAAATTCATTCCAATTTCCTACATCCCCCATCCTTTCCTGATAATTGAAATTGATTGTATAAAAATATCAATAACCGATTTCATCTTGCTGTGTTACCGACTTTCTTAACGCCATTAATGTTGTTATTTTAATTCCATTTCCCCACAACTACACGCACTTCCTCTCCTACATAAAAATAGGAAAAAAAGAAGAAGAGTGGAAGAGATTGGGACATAATTACGGAATTAGGACAAATGACATGCTCATAAATTGTCACAAGAAGTTTCTCTTCTTCTTATCTTGTCTTGCTTCCATTACATTCATTTATTTATATTACATCGAGACATTGCTACTGCCTTCCTCATCATCTACACATCCTCATCCTCACTTTAGACGACGCTTGTTGTTGTTGTTTGTTTGTTGTTGTCTCAATAAATTTTCGTTTACATTTCTAATTAACTGAAGATAGTTTTTGGCATCGCCTGGGCTGCTTTTGCTGAAATTTAATTTTAGCTTCTTGTTGGGAAAGCTTTCGGGATGGATTAGTGATTGTAGATGGTATTGAGAGATGTAATTGAGGATGAAGGCTCATTTTCTGGAATTGAGTTGTACTAAGTATAGGATTGAAGGATGTTTTAGAGCTAGAGTTGGATCGTGGCTAAATTCAGTGCTGATTCGATATTTTAAGTATCCAAAGCCGACCAGGAACCTGTGCTATTAATTCAGAACCTCCCCTAACCTCTCAAAATAGCTTCAGAAGTCTTCAAAAATTCTCTTTGACATAAAATTGTTCCTTATAAGCTTTAATCCCAAAAAAACTCAATGGAACGTAAAGATTTATTACAAATTAAAATGATTTAAGTTTACAAACTTAATATGATGATATATAGAGACGACATATACATCCGTAGGCGTATGGAACTTCTCACAAAAATATAAAACTCAATCTTTTCGTTCAGGAGTTGACAATTACACTTAATTGGATACAAATTTATGAAACATAAGAAAGTATATTCCTGTGGATTTTAAATAATGTAGTTGGATATTTAAATAAATTATAGTTCTGGGAATTTTTCATCCTTTTTTATGCTTAAAGAACATTTCAAGATCAGCTTCTGCTGCTTATTCTGTCCTCATTCCATTCGAGTTTCTCGTTTATTCAGATGAAAAATTGAGATTTAAATGTTCAATTATTTACAAGCATCCCAAGCATTCCTCTATTATATCCAGATGCCAAAAGGGGTGAAGAAAAATTTTCCATTCAAATTTCTTTTTATTTTCTTGGTTGTGCTTTTTGGGGGGTTAGTTTGGATGTTGCGTCTAATGCTCAGATTTGGGAGATACAAAGACGTGGTTTGGGAGTTGTTTTTGGAGTCAAAGTCCTTTCTGATTGAGTTTTTAAATTTAAATTGTGTCTGGAAAACTTCAGCCCCCCTCAACCCCCCCCAACTCCTTTTAAGAAGGTCTTACAGCTATCTGAAGTATAAAAACCAGCTTATTAGAGTCTTAAAGCATCAAAAAAATCCGAATTAGATCCAAAACCCTAAATTTTGAAACAGACGTCACTTAGGAACACTCCCTTTTACTCTTTCTGGATTTCTTCCTACACAAAAGAATAAAATCTGAGCCAAACTCAATTTTTGATCTATTATTGATTTTTATAGAACTGAAAAGAATTTTTTATTGCCCAATTACTTAAGGAACGAACAAATGTTGTAGCATTTGGAGGATAAGATGGATATTTGAATAATGTATCAAAAAACCTGAATATTAATGTTTTGGATTGAAGAAACTTTCAAGGTTATGTAGAAGATTCAGAGAATTTGGGGCTATGTGGATGATAATGTCTAGCATTTGTTACAATGTCTGCTGTTTTTGGGGTACATTGATGGATAGAAGCATGTGTGAACTGTAGATTGAAGTTAAGAGCCACAATTCAGTTCAAAGCTTTCTTGAAATTCAACAAGATCTTAAAATTCAACCCAATTTCAACCTTCAATCTCAAATTCTCAAAATTGACAACTCAGTCTCCAAAAATACATCCTCAAAGAGAAAAAATATTCAATGTTTGTCATCAAAAGCGGATTAAATTCATGATTTTCGGGTACACGCACCCAAAAAAATTTGCGAATACATTTTTTACATACACAACTCTTATCAGCGAACTCTTATGCCAGAAGGTGATTTTCAGCTCAACTTCATTTTTAGCTCCAACACTTTTTATTTACGTTCTGATGAACAGATTAACCATTGTTGATGTTACTCGCATGTGTTTGTGACTCAGTCGGTGTAAAGTTTAAGGAAGAAGAAGACGAGATGATGAACCTTTTTTTGAGCGGTTCGAGGATTTATTTCACCCAACACACATACAAGACATTCTGCCAAAAAAAAAGGCACAAAACGATGATGATGACTGAACGATTTATATGATGAAATGAAGGTAGAAAAGATGTAAATATCAAGTTTCTATTTCTTGACATTTCTCGGAATGGAAGGTTTAATTTGATTTCTTTTCTGACTCTTTTTTTTTTTGCTTTCCCATCAATGGCGAAGGGAATTAGGCAATTTTATTATGTCGTTTCTTTTCATCCTAACATGGCTAATTCCTCACGTGAGAAAATTTAAATAAATTTTGTTGGCTGTGATTTGAAGGTATATTGTGGATGATAATGAGAATGTGGATGTTTGGTGGGATATGAAGGTATTTTGAGATTTTTTTGAGTATAAAGGTATGCGGATGCGATGATATATGAAGAAATTTGAATTCATTGAGGCATATAGAGGCACCATTTTGTGTGTTTGAGTTTTGATTGTGTCTGGGGAAGTGAAAATTCAAAGAAGGATGGGGAATCATGAGACGAGGACTTCATTCTTATAAGTGACAAGCTGAGTAGATTTAAATTCATAATTCAATCCCTAAAATCATGTTAAATTAAGGCACAAGATGAGACAAAGTTCTTAAAATTCAATTCTACTGAATATCCACTTACATTAACTGAAAAAGTCGAGAGCAAGACTCATCATCATTTTGAACAATCTTCAACAGAACTGCCAATTCCAACCGCATACCATCAAATAGGTTAGTTGCGAATTGGGAATAACAAGTACATACAAAGATGTCGTTTGTATGTTCCACTTATTATTCTGATAATGACAAACATTTCTTGTTACACCTGCCTTGTATTCGCTCGTGTGCTATTTAAAGGATGTGCTTGAAAAAAAGGGGAAACATCTACGCATCTCTTCAAGTCCCTCTCTTTCGTGTATGAAAATTATTATTATGCATAATCATCATCCATAACAAGAAGAATATTTTTTTTTCGAGAGGCAAATCGTGATTTTTTCCTGTCACATACACAATTCTGCCACAGCCAATGACTCTTTTGATTTTTCTTCATCTTCTCTACTTTTTTTTGTGCTGCTGCCGACTAGATACATACATTTATGTAAGTGTCACAAAGTGAAATATTGTAAGCATTTCTTTTTGCATGTAAAGAATCCCATGAGAGCCAATTATAGTTCACATTTCTACGCTGGATGAGAATCACTTATAGGCACAAATTGGAGGCATATGTTGAGATGTAGAATTCGTTTTGGTGTTTTTGGTCGTTTCCATTTGAGTTTGAGTCACGAAGTGCTTTAATGATTTAATGGAAAGTCAAGAAAGTTTCTTTAATGGGTGAGTTGTCTTGGAGATGAGATGGAAATTAGATGGGGTTGTTCATGAGCGACGTCATTTAAATTTAGGAATTTTAAGAACCATGTCTCTTAGAAATTTTACACAGCATTAGTCTTCATTTCCAAAAAAATGGGCATCATTTACGAACAACCCCGGAAATTTTGAGGACATTTTTAAAAACTCAAGCACCAAAGCCAGATGCCATCCAAAATATTAAGTCACAGGTGATTAATTCCACCTCCAACTACTTCAATCCATTTCCAAAAACTTGCTAATTTCCCTTCATCTACACAAAAGCCAAAATCCATCCAACTGTAACGATAAAAAATTCTTTTAAATATTTTTAATTCTTTCGCCTGGTTCCATTACAAACTTATTTTCTTTCCTTAAACGTCGCTCATCTGTGAATTGAGATGTTGATGATTATTGATGCGTGTCGTTGATCCCTCATTGACTTTCATCTCTTTTAAGTTAGTCGACGAAAAATTTGTTTCCATGAAAATGCTTTTCATGCTGCTCAGCCATTGACATTCATAAATGGTACGCAAAAAAAAATATTATAATAGAACAAGGGACACATAAATGATGATGGCAATTTAAATTTTGATGATATTTTCTTGTTCGTGTGCGCTTCCTGATCCTTAAAAGTGTGAAATTAAGATGGAAAAAATTGCATGATGTGGAAGTAGCTAAGCATGGCAGTTTAATAAATGAAATAATGTTCATAAGGAGAAGACATTATCGTATCTCATTTTTTAATCCCAGAACGTCGGAGCGACACCCTTCTTTACGTCTACTTTGCTATTCTTTATGGAACTAGCTTGTGTAAGCGAGGATATGAGTGTGTTGGGATGTGTAATTGTCTTATTTTTGTTGATTAAATAATCAGGACTTTAAGGAAGGATTTTGAAGGAGTTTGTTTGTGTAATGATTATGTAAGGCTTAATATGATGTGAAAGGGGTGAAAATGGGAGGATAGAAGAGGTTAATGAACTATCAAGAATTGAATTGTGATGGATTCTTAAAGAATTTCACCGAAAATTCTTAAGTTTTGATGAAGAAAATAAATTGAACGATTTCCTAGGGCTGGATAGTATTTATTATTAAATTATGGACATGTTAGACCTCGACTTGGCCTTGTAAATTACTTAAGGTTTAGATATTATGACTGTAAATCTTAAACTAGTCTATAACAACGATAAGATTAGTTCAAACCTAAAAATCAGTCAATAATGCTATTTATAGTGGGAATCAAACCCACGTCCTCCCAAAAATGTTTCAAACTTCTGGTTTATTATTTAACTTAGAACCTACTCTCGCAGTGGCAGATTTCAATACATATGCATCGGTACTCTTGATTCCTCAACTCAAACACAATCCGTATAGTTTATAAAACTGACAAATGGCTTCTATATCGTCTATAAGCTAACAGCATTGATTTCAGCTACAACCTGAACTTCTATAAGCTTTTCAAACTTGTGATTCTAAGAGCATCTCACAAAACAACTCTAATTCACCTCCATTTCATCGAAATCATAAAAATAATAAAAATTAATTCTCTTCCTCATTCCCGTTACTCCATCATTTGATGATGCTAAATACACAAATACACGTCGTATCATTGTCCATTAAAATTTCTCATATTATATGAAAAAAAAGAAGAACATTGAACAATGGCAGTTAGTTAAACTGATAAAATCTTTTCAATTATCTATCTTCCCTTTATTCCACTACGAAACGACTGTAGCAAAGCATGTACAGCATGAAATGCCCATAAATTCTCTCCTGTTTCCATACATACATATTTATATTTGAGTCATTTTTAAGAAAATAAAAAAGAAGCATAGGCAATGAGTGAGATCATCAAGATTAACCTTCGAAGAATGCACCATAAGTAGGAGGAATCGAGCGCTAAGCATTAACACTAATCAGATGTTGAATATGACATGAATTCACAAGCAGTTGATGCCTAATAATAAAACCAATAGACGAAGGAATGGAGAAGCATGAAGTTTAAAATTCATGTATTTTCCAACCGCGTATCCAAATGATGTTGAGATTCTTTGTGTATGGCACTATAATATACAAAGCAATGACACATTACATGAGCACAAGAGCGAGTAAAAATCATTAAATTTAATCTGCTGTTAACACTTTTTCTTTAATGTGAATCACGATATTGTCATAAACATAATTTCCATTACAGTTGCGCGCCATTTTTAGCAATTGAATGAAAATGACATTTTCTGTGCTGTTGTGAATATTTTTAAGCTTACTTGAGAATATATATTCCGCGATGTCAAAGAGAATATATTTTCCGCGTGTGGATGTTGCATATTGTCTTTTTAAATTCTAGTCAACAAGGAAATTTTGAATTTTGATGAGATTTTTTTTTGTGAGTGGCATTTGGTGGATATGGGGAGCTATTATGGTGTTTAGTTTAGAGTTTTATGGTTAAGGCTTAGGTGTGTCTTAAAGGTGACTGTATTGCTGAGTTTTAAAGCTTGCTAGGTAACTTCTTGTACAAATTATCGCTTTATTTTATGAATTTGAAGACTGTAGTGGGCCCTTAATAAATTCCCAATCCCCTTCTTGGCCTTCCATTAAAGTTCTTAATTAATTCCATTAAATTAACATTTTCTTTATATACTTTCTCAAATTTTTATGGATTTCCTCACCATTTCCACCGAATCCGATCTGTTATCGGACCTCATTAAGCGGCCATTCATCTTAACACAGTTTAACTTCTCAAACCATCCATTTCATTTCAATAAATCTTGTTATTCTTCTTATTTTCTTCCCTTATTGATTCCATTTCCCTTCGCTGTGTGCTATTTCGTGCTCAAACACACAATTTCCGATGCTTCAAACCAATTATAATTCCACATGAATTGAAATCAAAATCATTAATATTTTTACGAGGACGAGAAAGAAGTAAAAAAAATATAAGGAAAGAAGAAAGTTATCGCCATTTGAGTCAGAAAGAAAATTGGATTTTTTAACTTAATTTTGGTAATTTATTTATTGCACACAAACAATTTTCTTTTTTTTTTGTGTGAAGGTTCTTTGCTGCTGTTCTGTTCGTTTAATTTTGGGAGGTGTGCGCGGCACGAGGCGCAAAAATGAAATAATGTTAAGGAAGCAAATGAAGGGGTGTAAGGAGGTGGTTAGTGGATTCGAACCGATGATTAAGATATGTTTAACACTTTTTTCATCTTTTAGTTGAGTTTTATATTTTCAAGCTAGTTTCTGCATCTTTAAACTGATTTTTGCATCTCCAAGCTGTTTTTTGCATCTCTAAGATAAATTCTGGATCTCCAAGCTAGTTTTTGCTTCTTAAAGCTAGTTTCTGCAACTTCAAGCTAGTTTCTGCGTCTCCAAGCTGATTTTTGCTTCTCAAAGCTAGTTTTTGCTCCTCAAAGCTAGTTTTACTGCATATTGAAGTAAGTTTCTGCATCTTCAAGCTAGTTTCTGCATCTTCAAGCTAGTTTCTGCATCTCCGATCAAGTGTTGTGACTTCAGAAAAAGACGTTGATGAATTGAGGATATTGCTGAAAGTTGATGATGCTTATATTCCTGTCAAAGAGAAATACAATGATGATTATTGGAACAACAAAAAGAAACCTGAAACGACAAAGAAGAGAGCAAGAGATACTAATGAAATTGATTTGACTAAAAATGGAAAAAAGTTGAAAATACCTTCTAGCACCCCAAAAAGAAATTGATGTGAGGCATCACCAGTTCAGCAAAAAAATATTGATCTCACCGGCGCTTCGATTCCTGATAACTTAATTGAAAACTTTTATGACTATGAACCAAAGGAAATAAAAACGGAACTAATTAAAAAGGAAAATGAATTAAAGTTTTCTTTGCTGCTTTGGAACATAAGATCAATAAAATCTACAAATAAATTCACAAGATTTAAACTTCATTTAGCTGAACTAGTGAGCAATAAAACTAAAATTATTGATTTGATAGCAATAACTGAATCTTGGGTTAGTGAACTTGATGATTTTAAGTTGTATGAACTCAAGAATTATAATTCGGTAATGCTGGGTAGGAACTTATCTTCCGGTGGTGGTGTGATGTTGTACGTTCGTAGGGGCTTGGCAATCAACGTTATTAGCAAAACATCAAATAGTCACGTAGAAGCGGTCTTCGTTGAGATCTTGTCATCGAATTTAAAGCAAAAAGTTCTTGTCATTTATCGTCCACCATCAGGAGATCTAGTCACGTTTTATGATTTTGTTGAGGAAATTTGCAATATCCATGATGACGTCATTATTGTCGGCGATATGAACATTAACACACTTAATCATGATAAATGCAAGCAGTACAACGATCTTCTGTTAATGCAAAATTATGAAATTGTGAATAATGGCATTACTAGACCAGTCTCAGGCAC